TACGTGCTTTAATTTTTTTCCGTCAATTCTAAAGGACATCTCAATGCCAAAATCTAGACATCATCTAGATGAAATGTAAATAAGGCAGTGAGCATAAGCCACTTGCATTTAAGCTTATATTTTTTTTGTGAGAGCCCAAAATATGAGAAGAGACATAAGCCTGATAAACACAATACATCAAGAATTGGAGCTGAGGAAGTGAGCAGACTTTCAGATGAAAACAGTCCAGTTCGACACATCTGCCTATGATTTTCTCAGCCAGCAGCCCATGAAATAAAAGTCCTCTGCTTTATAATTTCTTCTATTTGTTTAGCTTAAAGGCCTACGTACAGCCACACAGTGTATTAAGTACTGAGCAGCCGGAACTGATAAAAACGACAAACATGCATCGCAACCACTCAAGCTGAAGAATCCATTTTAGCCAACTGTGCTTCACCTGCCAAAAAAAATGATCCCACTGCTTCCCCTTGAGGTTCCCCAAAGCAGACACTGGGAGGAGGAATGGGGCCAGGACCCTGCACAATGTGGAAGTGAGCACGCCACGCGCGAGAAGGCAGGAGAGAGTGTGGCTATGCTTCCTGGCAGCGATGTGACCCGTCCCCCACTGGGCAGATGAGAGGTGCAGAGGCTGGGCATTCGCAGGAAAAGGGGCAGCAACATAGCCTGTCGTCTGAGGTCAGGGTGTGAAGGAAACTCTGGGAGCAATGGCTTTGGGAGAGCAAAAATAACCCAAGACATCAGAAAGGACTTCCTTGAGCACGTTTCTTGTCAAAAGCTGCTTTGAAAATTCTGTTGACCCACATGCATCTGTTTCCAGAAAGACTTTCACTATCCTATAGTGAATGATAAGCTTGGTGTTGAAAGAACCCTCAGGTTTCCTCCAGAGGCAGGAAGCATCATGGATGGCCCCATGAGCACAGCATTTTAGCTGCACGGAGTCATCGCACGTTCCAAATAGAAGGGAGCAGAAATTATACGTTTCCTTCAAATGACAAAAAAAAAAAAAATCCTCAGGAGAATGAAGAACTATCCCCAAGGTCACACCACTAGGTAAAGACAAAAGCAGAAGATGGACCTAAGTTTCTGAGCTAATTCCTACTCTTTCCATTTTGTGAGAAACTGAACATGGAGTCAATCTGGGAGGGAAAGGAAGCCTCTGAGGCTGTGAGAGCCACCTGTGTGCCTGCTGCCAGTAGCCGGCATGGCCACCCAAGCAGCAGTGCCCCTGCTGGCCTTCCTTCTCCCGCTCTCTCATCACCACAGAATCTGATGCTGGTGGTTATCTAATTTATTCCTATCATGTTATAGATGAGATAATCACGAAGGTCCTAGGGAGAGCCCTAAGGTAAGTAACTAGGAATGGGTAGAACAGAGACTCTGAAATCAATACAGAAACCAATAGGATTCCCACGTACTCATGAGGCAGAAAAATAGGGTCTGGAGGCAGGGAACTTAAGACCAATTTGCTCTGTCTCTCCAAAGCTGAATCAAAGGGAAAAAAACAAGATCTGGGGGCAGGGAATCAAAAGCCAATACGTGGTAATTTCCTAAAGCTGGATCAAAAGGCAAACAAGGATCAAAGGCTACTCTGCCTACAATTCTCCCCCTTCTCCCACGTTTCAGATGGGACGGGACAGTGCCTTGGATTGGCTGCGGGCCAGGCAGGGGCCATCTCTGCATCTGCATTGGCTACCAACCCACTCCAGCCTTGGGTTGACTGCAGGCAAGTTCACATCAGCCTTTAATTAGCCATGAACCAAATCCTTCATCCAGATGAAGGGGAGCCCATAGGGACCTCAAAAGGAGTACTTAAAACCCAGAAAACTGTGTAACGGGGCCCTTGAGCCATTTGCTCGGGCCACTCCCACCCTGTGGAGTGCCTTCTCTCTTTATAATAAAGCCTGGCTTTCGCTGCTTCGTCTCTGCGTTTCATTCCTCTGCTACTTCCTTTGTGCATTTTGTTCATCTTTGTTCAATATGCCAAGGACCTAGGCAATTCACATGCAAGGCCTTCCTTCTAATAGCACTCACTGTCATTAAATTTAAAAAACAGTAATGGAGAAATTCATGTAGATACATATTTGAAACAGCCCTCCTTCTCTGCAGTGGGCTGCCCTGTCATCCATACTGTCCTGCAGCACCTCCCCACAGCAGCCACCAGTCTGCTTCATGAGGTCTTAACGACCCCAGGCACTGACTGTGCAGATGGAAGCTACCCATGAGGTGTTGTTAATGCAAATCTAACAGCCATGTCACAAACTGGACATACTGTATTAGGAAATTGTTTTTCTTTTTTCTTTCTTTCTTTCTTTTTTTTTTTTTGAGATGGAGTTTAGCTCTTGTAGCCCAGACTGTAGTGCAATGGCACAATCTTGGCTCATTGCAACCTCCGCCTCCCGGGTTCAAGTGAGTCGCCTGCCTCAGTCTCCCGAGCAGATGGGGTTACAGGCACTGCCACGATGCTAGGCTGATTTTGTATTTTTTTAGTAGAGATGGGATTTCACCATGTTGGCCATGCTGCTCTTGAACTCCTGACATCAGGTGATCTGCCCGTCTCGGCCTCTCAAAGTGCTGGGATTATAGGCATGAGCCACTGTGCCTGGCTGTTGTATTAGGAAAATTAAACCCAGTTTGCCTGGCTGGATGCAGACATCAGATTTTATTAGAAAAAGATTAAATTCAGTTCCAATCCTTCATGAGAATGCTACTTTGCTTCCTGAGGAAGAAAATAAACTGAAGATAGATAATGTCTAAAGCAAGTCCAGAGAGCATTGTGTGAGGGTGTGTGTGTGTGTACATTTGTGCATGAGTGTGCATGTGGGGTATGGCTACTCCATAGAGCAGCCCTGAGGTCTGCTGGTTACCCATTTTTATGGTTATTTATTGATTATATGCTAAATAAGGGGTGGATTATTCATGCTTCCCCTTTTTAGACCATATAGGGTAACTTCCTGACATGGCCATGGCATTTGTAAACTGTCATGGCACTCGTGGGAGTGTAGCAGTGAAGACAACCAGAGGTCATTCTCGTGGCCATCTTGGTTTTGTGGGATTTGGCCAGCTTCTTTACTGCAGCCTGTTTTAACAGCAAGGTCTTTATGACCTGTATCTTGTGCCGACTTCCTACCTCTTCTGTGACTTAGAATGCCTAACCTTCTGGAAATGTAACCCAGTAGTTCTCAGCCTTAGTTTACCCAGTTCCTATTCAAGATGGAGTTGCTCTGGTTCCAACACCTCTGACAGCTTGTTCCAGAAAAAATAAAAGTCAAATATCTCTAGAGGTGAACATTTCTTAACTCAGTTTGAATTGAGCACAGGTGAAATATTTCAGAGGTGGTCCTGTATTCTTAGCAACAACAGCATGCTCCCATTAGGTGCCTGTTACATGTCAGGTGCTTAATTTTGAACTCTCTCCTCTATTCTTTGAGTTGTCCTACATGTGGGACCAAATCATCTTGTACACATGAGGATACTAAGGCAGGCAAGAGGCCAAGTTGACCTATGAACGTAGGTGTGTCTGATTCCAAAATGTGGATTTGAAAATCATTGGTTTAGTGGAAATAGCTAGACAGACCTGAGATTAACTCCTATTTTCCCTGAGTTAACCCTCTTCTTGGCAAAGTACCCTCAAGAAAGTAGAGGAAATGTCTCTGAGGGCTAAAACTGACACCTGTGATGCTGGCCCAAAACAGCCAGTTTTGAGGTCCTCCACGTTTGGTGCATACTGGAATCAGCTTCGGAGTTTCAAACCTCAAAGCTCCAGGCCTTTCAGACTGGAGAAGGCCAGATGTGGGATTGTGGTAACTGCACAGGTGAGCTGGATAGACAGTAAAGATGGAGCGTGGTGACCCCGTCAGTTGTCCATGCTCCTCTCCAGGTTGAGCGTGAGAATCACCTGCAGGGGTTGTTAAACCCAGAGTACCTTTGTGAGCGGGCCTCAGAATGTGCGTTTTGTAGCAAGTCCACAGATGCTGCTGGTCTAGGAACCGCTGCTATGTTGTAGCAATGGCATGAAGAAAGGCAAGTGAAACACCAGGCCCGGGTGTGGAGGAAGCCACTCCTCAGTGACACCCGTGGGCTCCAGGCCGGGGAGGTCTCTCCTTGCACAAACTCAACCACCCCGAGATGGACAAGACCCATCTGTGAGCCCCCATGGGTTTACTCCATATTGAAGAGAGACTTTTGAGCCACTGATTAATTCAGAAGAACTTATATTTCAGGTAATAGAATACTTGCGCTCAAAAGGATAGCATTTTTCGTTTTTAAGCTACATTTTAAGAGTAAGCCAGTGAAGTCAGTGGAGGCTCAGAAAAACAAAGTGACTGGAAGAAAACCAGACAGCTAGTTAGCTATGGCAGAACTGGAGTAGGACCCAATCCTCCTGCTCTCCAGTTCTTGAATTCAGCTTGGTACCAAGAGCACCTCAGATGTGTCAATATAGGTACTGGAGGAGCAGCTGTCCTGCTGCCGCAGTCCAGCTCCAGGAGCCTCACACTCCCCTGTGACCTGGGGAGGGAGCTTCCGTGCGCATCCTTCAGACCGGCGAGTTTAGAAGTCGGGAGCACGCACTCTCTGCTGGGCTGTCATCTCCTCCATGCTCTGCTGGGCTCAAGAGAATCCGGGCTCAGACGACTGTGACGCTGCCAGTCTCTAATCTTATTAACTCACTCCGGAGAATCCCTGCGATGGCCTCTCTTCTTCCACTCTGTCCATCTTTACCCACGTTTTGAATTAGGCTGCCCGGAGACATCTCGGCTGAGTCTGTCTGGCCAATTTGCTGGTGATTACTTCTGCCTCCTCTTCACTGACCACATGGATGTGAAACCTGTTAGTTTGATTAGGAAGTGAGAGGCAGCCACGGAGCCAAGCGTCTGCGGAGAGATTTCAGGCATGCGCAGAACAATCCCGCGAAGGTGACTGGGCCGGGAAAAAGTTAACCACTTGGGCACGCGGAGGTGGAAGAAATAGATTCTGTGAATGCCCTGAGCGAGCAGACGGCCAGGGGAACGGCGACGCTCCCTGGAGAGCGTGTGCAGGCTCACCGCTTGCTCTCTGGGGTCACAAGCCCTGGCCATGCTCCCGGGCTTCATCTCTCCATGGGGTCCCTGTCCTGACTCCCCAGTCTGGACGCCTAGAGACAGAGCTACACGCCTTCTCTGTAGGGTCAGAGAGGTAATCTCACTCCGCACTGTTCCATCGCCTCTTTGAGCCTCAGTTTCCCCATCTGTCCAATGAAGCTGGTGACCCATGCACAGGGTTGCTGACAGGCCCCAGGGCACTTTCCAGGGTGAGGTACAGAAACTTTCCAGGGCAGGAGTTAGTGTGGAGCAGGGCAGGGCTGGCCCAGAGGGGAGGAGTTAGTGTGGGGCAGGGCAGGGCAGGGCTGGCCCAGAGGCCGCCTGCTCTTTCCCATGGCATCTTTGTGAAAGGTGAACCCCACAAGTGGTTTCCCTGTGAGCATGAGATGGACACCGCCTGCTGGTGAAGAGTCCTGTGTGGGGAAGGGAAGCGGTGAAATGGGTCAGAGAATGGTCTGAATTTACCTAGAATCCCCCTGGCTTTCCTCTGGAGTGGAGGCCAGAACCACCATTGCTTTCTACCAGCTAAAGCCTGAGAGCTTCCACTTAATCCCCAGAACACTGCAGGGGGCAGCTAGGTCCCTGCCGCTTTGTGACTGAGGGTCCCTATGCAGGGAGAGCTCAGTCACCTGCTCAGGGTGCCCAGTTGAGGGGCAAACTCATCACTTTTCTTCCCCACAGAGACTTAGCAAAGGGAGAGAAGGGCTCCTGGGCCCGTCAAGTCTGAGAGAATCTGGCCCTGGAACACCATGGCAGACTCAGTGGAGCACAGCGGAGGCCAGACTCCTCCTCAAATGGGTGAAGCCAGCTTCCCCACCAACACAGCACTAGCCCTGGGGAGGGAACAGTGCCCGGAGGAGTTGCAGGGATGTTAGTGGACATCTGCCACGTGTCCTGTGTGCCACTGGGAGGCATGGGTGGAGATCAGATTCCAGGCACACCTCTGGGGCATACCACAGGGCCAAGCTTTTGCAGCTCAGGGGCAGAGAAGTGGGACTGATTTCTGCCAGGACACCTGTGAACAGGTACCAGCCGCCTGGAGTCTGTCAGTTACTGAAGAGGCGTAGGAAGAAACTAGTTCCCCCATGTCTCTCTTATATACAGGTTAAAATCAGCTTGTCAAGTCTCATGAAAAACCTGGTGAAGTTTTGTTGGAATTGTATTATAATGGATGATCAATTTGGAGAGATTTGACAGCTCCGGAATATGAAGAATTTCTGGCTACAAATATGGTACGTCTCTTCATTTTTATAAGACTTGCATAATGACTTTCAACAAAATGTTATACATTTTCATGTTAAGGTGTTACATTAAAAAATTATAGGCTGTTTATATTTGTTGGCCACCATAAGTGAAATATTTTAATTATGTTTTCTAACAGTTGTTTGAGTACGGAATACCACAGATGTTAATATATAATCTTTATAGTAAACAATGCTAGGATCAATTATTATTTCTTGTAATTTGTCTGTAGAATCTTTGAATTTTCTACATAGACAATCACATTTGCAGATAATTGCAGTTTTGTTATTTCAGTCCCTGGGGCCTGGGCTTGTCTTGTCACTTTGGCTAGAAGGTGCTGCACAGAATAGAAACGGTGGGTGGTAGGGATCCTTCCTTATCTTGTTCCTATTTTAACAGGTGATGCTTCTGACATTTCACACTTGAGTGGGATTTTTTTTTTTCATACATTTCTGGTAGTATCTCTCATGAGATTAAGAATTTTTCATTGATTTCTCATTTGCAAAGAGTTTTTGCCTTGGATTTTTATCAAATTTATCAAGTGATTTTTCTGATTTCATTGAGCTAACTATATGGTCATTTCCCTTTCATTGTGAAAGTGGCAAACTATATTCTTTTCAAGTTACTAATTTTCTAATGTTTGACAAGATTGCTTTCTTCAATAATCTCAATTTAGTTGAGTGCTATCTTTTTTATATCATGCAGTACAGTCATATGTCACTTAATGACAGAGACCCATTCTGAGAAATGTGTCATTAGGTGACTTTGTCATTGTGTGAACATCATAGAGTCCACTTACACGAACGCTGGTAGCGGAGCCTATGACACACCCAGGCTATATAGTGTGGCCTATTGCTCCAAGGCTACAAATCTGTATAGTGTGTCCCTGTACTGAATATTGTAGGCAATTGTAACACAATGATAAGTACTTGTGTACCTAAACATATTGAAACATAGAAAAGGTACACTAAAAATATTGTATTATATTCTTATGGGACCACCATCATATACATGGGTTGCTCATTGACTGAAACATCATTTTGCAGTGCACGTCTGTATGTTGTTTAAATACATTTTATAGAAAATGTGTTTATAGCTCTGTTCCTGATAGAGATTGGTCTAATTTTCCTTCCCTTCTTTATCTGCTTTCGGCATCAGAGTTAGAGATCAGCCTCAATACAAGGAGAGCTGGTCTGGAAAGGTTTCTGTAAGTCAGAAATTGTCTTTTCCTAGGGAATCATCTGTGTGGTCAGGGCACTGTGGGGTTGGGGAATCTGTAGACAGACTGCCTGAGTTCAGATCCTGCCTCTGCCATTTGTGTGACCATGAGCAAGATGCTTAGCCTCCCCATGCCTCAGCTAACTCATCTGTGGATTAGAATAACGCTAGCTGCAAGTGGAGTCACAGTGACAATTAAGTCAGTTGATGTGCATAGGCCAATGAGAATAATGCCTGGCACATGACAAATGTACACATGCAAGAGCCCTTATGAGTCTTAAAAGAACTTGCCTGGGAAACTAAGCAAAGCCTTTGTGGGAAAGGCTTAAATACTCATGCAGTTTATTTAATAACAAAAGTAATAGGATTTTGTTCAGTGTTCTTTTTCTTCTTGATTCAGTCCTTTATAGTTTTCTAATAATTTGTCAATTTTACCTGTTTTAAAATTCTATTTTAAGTCTTTGCTATATCTGTATTATATACTAGTTTTTATTCCTAATATTGTTTCTTTCACTTTTTCTTCACTCAATTTTGTATTGTGGTGGTTCAACTTCACTGGTCAATAACCAACTTTTGACTATGTTGATTTTTCTTTCATTAATGGCTACTTTTATTTTATTCTTCCCCCTGTTTTCTCTGAGCTTAGGTTATGGATCCTATGCATAGCTTTTTGGTTTTCAGTGTTTCTTTTTCCCTAGTAGAGACATGTCAAGCACACACTTCCCTTTAAGTACTGCTTCAGCTTCTTTCCCTTCGGTCTGACCGTTAGCCGTTTTGTTGGTTTTCATTTCGTTGTAGAAGTCTGTAGAAGTTTCAAGCTTTCATTTTCACGAAATAGTCATTTTCAATGAATATTACTTTGTAGCTTACATATACGTTTGAAAATACGTAATTATTTCTAGCAGTGTTGGGGCTGCCAGCCATGTGGCATTTTTTATTTATAAGTGAATCCCATTATGATCAAAGATTGAATTCTACACAACACAGAAACATGCGGTGAGCTCCAGGTGACGACGAGAGGCTCATTTTGAGAGTTCCCAGGGAAGTTGGGCAACAGTCTTGGCGGTTCTGGGGAGAAGTCTTCATCATCTCCCAACCCACAACCCCAGAAGTCCTCTGGGAAGTGGGCGGCCATTGCTTGGCCCTTTGCTGCCCCTAATGGCCCCATTGAGTTCTGTGCGCTCCGTGCTCTTCCTCCTCCCCCACTTCTGCTACAGGCTGCCCGCACCCACCTTCCTGAAAGCAGGGCTCTGTTTGGCTCACTGTGCTGCCACCCAGACGCCAGGATTGGACAGAACCTTTGTAACAGGCCATTTCATTGGCTCCTGGCTTTGCTTTCCCCTGCCCTAGGCTGGATTCTGATCCTATCTGGTGCCTAGGGTGATAGGCGATCAGGTTGTAAAGAGTGTGTCCTTTGTGCAATCACTTAGCCTATCGCAGATTTCCAGGTGCCCTGGCAGTGACAACGACTCAGTCTTCCAAGTCAAGGGCCAATCATGATCTGACTTGGGGTGTGTCACCTTGGACAAAGCAGAGCTCCAGGATGATTGAACACAGATGATTGTCCTCACCTCCCTAGCTCCTACTCCAAGCAGCTAAACCACTGGGCCCTGGGCATATATAATGCACAGAGAGACTCCCTATCCCTGCCTGCAAGGAACCCCTCACCCATAGGGGGAAAAGTATAAGAAACTCAAGTTACTATTCTTATGTCAGGGGAGAAAATGTTTGAGATGTTTCCAATTTGTAGAATAAAAACCAGGGAGCAGGACTCTGGGATGTTTTGATTCTTTGGACCACACCAATTTTTCCCTGTGGGAGGAGAGAAGGCCAGGACCAGAGCCTTAGGATTCCTTTCAATAGACTGGTAGATGCTCTCTTCTCCCCTCCTTCAACCCCAGACTCTTTCCCTGATGCCACCTTAAGAGATGGACACAAGCCTGTGCTGAGGGAAGGACTACAGTCCCACCTTCCAGGCAGCAGGGACATCCTTCTCCTTGTATTGATTGTTGCTTTCACAAGAAATACCTGCTGGGGCAATTCCATTTTTGTACCTGGAAATTGACATCACAATGCTACTTGCCATCAGAATCAAAAGGGAAAAATAAAAGGACACCGTCTGCTTTGAAAAATTCCCCACTGTGATATCAATCTGACTTTTTTATCTTGAAAAATTGTGGACCATCTTGCAAGAAACCCTGTTAGAGGGGGAGACAATCTTTATTCAGAGATTTGGCTTTCCTTGCTGCATTCAGTTTAGGATGGGTCAACCTCAGACAAGATTTAATAAAAGATGCTATTTCTGGTCCCAAATGACATCATCACAGAAAGCACCATTGATCTCCAGTTATGGTGAAGAATATAAAATCTTCTTTGAGAGGTCATTTTTCTTCCTGGGGAAATCTACATTTTGAAATGACATTTTATTATGGCCCAAAAAGTATTCATTTCTGCTTCAAAACACTTCCTATACTTCATCAGATGATGCATTAAAGATGAGGGGTTTTTTTGTTTTTGTTTTTGTTTTTAGATGGAGTCTCACTGTTGTCATCCAGGATGAAGTGCAGGAGTGTGCAGTGCAGTCTCGGCTCACAGCAACCTCCGTCTCCATCTCCTAGGTTCAAGTGATTCTCCTGTCTCAGCCTCCCGAGTAGCTGGGACTACAGGCACCTGCCATCATGCCCAGCTAATTTTTGTATTTTTAGTAGAGATGGGGTTTTACCATGTTTGCCAGGCTGGTCTCAAACTCCTGACCTCAGGTGACCACCTGCCTCGGCCTCCCAAAGTGCTGGGATTACAGGTGTGAGCCACCACACCCAACTGGATGAATTTTATCTCTTGTACTTAACTAATTCATTGGAGACAGTATTTCTAATCATTTAATAAGTATTTTCTGAAATCATTGCCTGTCATGAAGAGACCCAAATATCATGTTCTGTCCTGTTAAAATTGTTTCTGGTATTTGGCAAAATATATCAATACAGAACAACTATATGTGTGGCTAATAGAAAAAAAAAACATTATTTCTATCAACTGTGGGGGAAAAAAGTCTCTATATTGAAAAGGAGAAAAAAAATGCTAATGGCATTTCCTTGTCAGGAACAGGATCTTCTGGGGACTTAGCAGAAATGAACCTGGCAACAATCAATATTTCAACTCAGAAGGAGACTGGGTTTGATTTAATCGCTGGGGAATTATTTGATCACTGCTGGCATCTAACAGAGAAGACCTATCCCATTAGCAAAGTGGCTCTCTGGCTGAGAGGAACAGGAAGCCGAGATGAAGTACAAACAGAGGGAAGCTCAATGCCTGATTAGGAAAAGTGGAGACAGAAGCCGCAGGGCACATTCGTCGCCCTCACTAATTGATCAGACACCACAGTGCAAGGATACAAAGTCATGTCATCATAGTTTTGTTTAATACAATCAAACACATTTTAGGGAGCTTTACAAACTAACTTGATTGAGGTAAAATGTACCTACAATAAAATGCATCCATTTTAAGTTGAATTTGATAGGTTTTGACACATCTATGTACTGTGCAGTCATCCTCACAATCAAGGCATCTAGTATTCTGTCACATCCAAAATTCCTTTGTGCTCATTTTGCAATCAATACTCATGCCCCCAGCCCAGACAACCACAAAGCTGCTTTCTGTTACAATAGTTTAAATTTGTCTTTCTTAGAATTTCACATAAACAGAATCATACAGTCTATATACTTTTGTGTTTGAATTATTTTACTCAACATGTTTTGGACATTCATCCATGTAG